GCACCTTTAATTGTCCCCCATGATTCAGAAACTCATTTGGCTTCAATGAGAAGTCCGACCTTTAGTATCTCTGGCCCCAAGCTGTGGAATACTCTTCCAGAAGAGTATTGGCAGGCATCTTTGCAACTGATTTTCCAGACATCTCTTGAAGACCGTTTTATGCCAACATTAATATTATTATTAGTATATATTTAGCTATACCCTGCCTTTTTCCCTGACAGAAGGCAAAATTACAGATTAAAACAAGTACCTCTAAAAACATAGAAAAATCAATTATTAAAATGCAATTAAGCATTGAGAATTGAAACTATATACTTATATAAAATCTGTTTAAAAACATATCAATGATTACAACAAAAATAGCACAGCACCAGCCCCTTAATTCAAAGCAGTCAATTCCCAAAAGCCTGTTGGAACAAGAAACTCTTCACCTGCCAGCGGAAGGACAACAAGGAGGGAGCCAGTCCAGCTTCTCTAGGCAGGGAGTTCCAAAGTCTGGGAGCAGCCACCAAGAAGGCCCTCTCCTGTGTTCCCACCAAGTGTGCCTGGTGAGACTGAAACACACTCCCCCCCCCCCAAATATCAAAACCTGGGCACATTTGCATGAGGGAATACGGTCTTTCAGATAGCTTGGACTTAAGCCATGTAGGGCAGGGGTCCTCAAACTATGGTCAATGGGTCAGATTTGGCCCGCCAGGGTCTTGAACCCATCCCGCATGGCAATTGCAGAACCCGCCGCTGTCTAAGGTGAAAGGAAGTATGGCATCCCGTGCATGAGCGCGACCTTAAGCCTTATTGCAAACAATATCAGCAATGTGGGAGCAGTTGCGAAGCATGAAGCAGCGGAGGTGGGAGAGCACAGGACTGTTAATTGTGCAAAGGCGGCCCTGGGGGTCTCCGATAACCCTGCTCCAATCGCAGTATGGCGAAGGTGCGGGAGCCAAAGCAAGCAGCCTGCACGGTGGCAATTCCATGCCCCAGCCTGGGGCTGCACTCGCTCGCGTTCAGCTGCCTGTGGGAAGCCACTACCGCTGCCGCCCCTGCTGTGGGCAACTCTGGGTGCGAGGAGCGCCATCCTGCCCTGCAGGTGAGGGGGTGGGAGTTTGTGGCGGTAGCAGCAGATTCCCTCCCAGCGCCAGCAGGAAGTGAGTGCTCTGACTGCTGATATGTAAGTGAGGCTAAGCATCACAGCAGCAGCTTATCCACTTTGGGTGTGTGTGTGTGTGAGAGAGAGAGAGAGAGAGAGAGAGAATCCTGTTTATCTATCCATCTTTAATTTAGCTATCTGTGGGCAGCTGCCCCCCTTCCACCTAAATCAAGTAAATCAATAAAAATATTGATCCTGCCCCCCCAACATGAAGCCTGCCCTCCCTTCCATAGCCCTTCCTGGCTATGCCCATGTAGCTATCCCTCCCTTGAAAATACCATTTCTTCCTGTTCAGTCCATCCCTACAGCAATGATGTTCATGATATAAAAATATATGAGCAGTGTGCATAGGAATTCGTTCATATTTTTTCCAAACTAAAGTGGTACCTCTGGATGTGAATGGGATCCATGCCGGAGCCCCGTTCGCATCCTGAAGCGAATGTAAAACTCATCTGCGCGTGCACGGGTCATGTTTCGCTGCTTCTGCACATGCACGACGTCATTTTGAGTGCGCATGCGCGAGCAGCGAAACCCGGAAGTAACACACTCCGTTACTTTCGGGTCGCCACGGAGCACAACCCAAAAATATTTAAGCTGAAGTGTATTCATCCCGAGGTATGACTGTATAGTCTGGCCCCCAACAGTGTCCGAGGGACAGTGAACTGGCCCCCTGTTTTAAAAGTTTGAGGACCCTTGATGTAGGGCTTTATAGGTGAAACCCAGCACTTGTGCCCAGAAACAGATGGATGGCCAGTGGAGCTGTTCCAACAAGGAAGTCATATGTTCCCTATAACCAGCTCCAGTCAACAATCCAGTTGTTTAAACTTTTTCAAGATGAGCTAGTCAGTTTTATTATAATTTTTTTATTTTGTTTATTGTGCCTGCATATTTTGTTGTACACTGCCTCAATATTTTATATGAAGGGGAGGTCTTTAAGTAAGCTCATCAATCAATCAATCAATCAATCAAAATCCTGCCAAACAATAGAAATTCAACCTGTGAAGATTTCCTAGGAACATCTTCCCTGTGGCTCACCTGTTGATTTTCTGTTTGCTATGCAGCTTTTTAAATTTTAGGAACTCTGCCAGAGATGGTAACCCTACAGAAGTGAACAAAAGAGGCCGTTATAATATTTGGGGCTGCTTTTCTTTATACAACAAGCAATGAAACCCAAAACTTACACAAGTGCTACCTGAATAAATAGACCATGGGTTGGAACACATCCCCAAACACAAGATCAGCTGTTTAGGTAAATCTGGGCAATTGTTGCATTGGTTTTAGAATGTAAGTTGTACTGCTCTTTGAGGATTATGATGAGAAAACTTGCGAGTTCTTCTCTACCAGTGTATTTCAGGCTGATCTCTTTTCCACCCACCAATTTTGAAATTGATCTCTCACTTCTGCTTTTCCTCAGATTAGTTTCATCTTCTCTGAGGTTTTCCGGTGGCTACTAAACGAATATTTTCAAGAGTCGAAGATGGGAGGTAGAACAAAAACTATGCGAATCAGTTTTCCTGCAGCTCAATGAAATAAGCTTTATAAAACCTGAGTTTATAGATCAAAACAGAGCACCTTGTGAAATTTCTGCTCTATACATTTTGCTAAATTTGAGCAGTTTGGTAGCTAAGAATGAGCTCATATACACAGCCAATTTCTGAAAGCCAGATGCAACATAGCTGTTGGATAAACTGGACTTGGGAGAGGATGAGGAAGGCTTTAAGTTTGTCTTTGCATTTCCTAAGACCTGGTGCCAGCTGGAGACTGGCAGACTCCTTTTAGTTGTCTTCTGTTGGGTAAAATGATTTTATTTTTGGTTAAAATACACACTGTGTAGTTTGGAATCTCATGATGCACACACATAGGTAAAGCCAGAAATAATAACTTTGGCTGGGAATACAGCCAAAGTTATTATGTCTGGCTTATGATGGCAACAGATCAGGGGGAAATGAGGAGGACAGGGGTAAATTCTTCCCCATTCCCTTTTAGCACAGGGGGATGGACGGATGGGCCTTTCACCTTCCAGATGTTGTTGGAATCCAACTTCTGTGAGCTCCCAGCCAGCATAGCCAATGGTGAAAGGTGATAGAAGTTGCAGCCCAACAACTTTTGGAGCTTCACAGGTTCCTCTCCCCTGTCCTACAGATTCAGGTGTCTGTTTTTGTTGTTGTTGAGTAACTATTTAGGATCTGGCTTTTTTCACACACTCTCATACTTTTTGAGAAACGTAAAACTGTGGTGTCCTGTTCCCTGCAGCACCAAATACGAATTGCAAGTGTAACAGTAATCACAGGTGAAACACCGCAGACAGAATTCAGTCAGAACTGAGATGAAATATACAGTGGTACCTCAGGTTACATACGCTTCAGGTTACATACGCTTCAGGTTACAGACTCCACTAACCCATAAAGTGTGCTTCAGGTTAAGAACTTTGCTTCAGGATGAGAACAGAAATCGTGCTCTGGCGGCGCAGCAGCAGCAGGAGGCCCCATTAGCTAAAGTGGTGCTTCAGGTTAAGAACAGTTTCAGGTTAAGTTCGGACCTCCGGAACGAATTAATTACTTAACCCGATGTACCACTGTAATGGAATATTACATGACCTAAGAAGATGCATGTTTTGAAATAGACTTCCTTTCTTTATTTCACATATTTATGAAGAGTTCTGAACTTGTTATTCCTCTACAGCATCCTCTTGGGCAAGTCCAGACCTGTTTAACTTCAGCACCAGATCATGTACCTTTTGACTATTCTCTGGGCCTTAAGACCTAAAGCGTTGAACACTCCACCAACAATGCCTGGATTACAACCAGTAGAGGAAAAGCTGTAAAGGCTGTCACTGACAGAGCTTTATTCAAGATTCAGGCATGACCCAAATCTGACCATTTACCAACTGAACCACATCCTGAGCAAAGCCAGAGCTTATAGTTGTTATTAATCATGTTATTTCCTGAAGGACCTGAGAACAAGAGTTAGTCACTGTACTGTTGAGGCTTGGAAGGAGCCAGGTGAGCAATCTTAGTAACAATGCTCGGGAGAAGGAAGCCAAAAATTATTCACTTAGAAGAGGCCACAGTCATCTGCACTCACCACTAACTATGTCTCCTGCTGGCTTTGTAGATTCACAGAATTGTAGTGCTGAAAGAAGCACAAAGGCCGTCCAGTTCAGCTCCATGCAAGGAAGTGGAATCCTCTATACCAGATCACTCTGTGATGGAAGAATATAATGTAAATTATAGGGTTCTACAAGCAGAGCAGAAAGAGTCATAGTGAACCTTGCCAATAGGATATGTGGCATAAGGAATACGTTTAACAAGACAAAAGCTGCATTCCTCTTGTTGAGAATCATGCCATTGATTCCCTTATTTGAATACTATTAATTGCACATCCTATTTATATTTGTTACATGCAAACTGCCTGATCCTATAAAAAGTTAGGTGTGTCTAAACCTATTAAACTCAGTGGATTTAGATAGGCCTAATTATTGCTAATGTCAAGCTGAATTTTTCCTCCTTTGCTATATAATAAACGCAACAATTCAAAACAGTTACCTGGTTTCTTATTAAGCTGAGATGTGCACAAGCTTTGTGCCTACTCAGTTGGTATTTGTACTTCTCCTTCCCTCTTCACATCTTGGTGTATTGTGATTAACCCAGGAAGTTTCTGTCAACCATAGATTCCCTTTACATAAGGATGGGAATCTATAATTACCATGATCAGAACAAGGCAGCATCTTAAACCAGCTGCAAACTATGGTTTGTAATCCTAGCATGTGCAAATCCTGGTAACCATAATTTCCAGTTCAAGTGTAACAGGACACTATGGTTAATTCATTCAGGAAGTGTTGAATCATGCTGTAGGCGCAGGCATGGCCAAACTTGGCCCTCCAGATGTTTTATGACTATAACTCCCATTATCCCTAGCTAACAGGACCAGTGGTCAGGGATGATGGGAGTTGTAGTTCCAAAACATCTGGAGGGCCATGTTTGGCCATGCCTGCTGTAGGGGAAATGAAGAGGAGGTGCAAGGAGGAGTATATGGCACAAGGCTTGTGCCTATCTCAGCTAATTAAGATGTGATAGATGCATCTGAATTGCAGCACTCTCTTGTATCAAATGCTGTCCTCTAATATAGCATATAATTGATCTCCCTGTTTCATGTAATGGCTGGATATTAATAGCTTATGTTTGATATACTGTCAGATTGACTAATGTCATTATCTCTGTAATGTATGAATTCTGAAGCCATTCCCTTTTATTTAGTTCTGATTGTGCTCATCAGTGTTTAGCAAAGGCTAATTTTGTATCAGCCAAGGAAACCAGAAGAGAGACTGGGGGTAGGGGGCATTATTCATTTATGTATGAGATTTTGTACCCAATCTTCACCACTAAGTCCCAGGGCAGAATTACAACAAAGGTTTGCTGCAATGGGTTTTCGCCACTGAGGAAGGGTTTGCCATAATCCTGGAAACTGACCTATTGCTCCAAAATGGGATCATCCTGGAGCACAATCTTGATGCCTGGGGAGATTCAGCTGACAGGCCTGCTCTTGTGAATTCAGTTTGCAGGCTTCCCAGAGATAAAGGTTGTCTGGTGTGTTTAATGAAACTCAATAACTCAGGCTTTTATGATGTCATTTCCCCCCTCTCTTTCATTTGCAGATATTGATGAATGTGTTGATGGGACTGACAACTGCCACATTGACGCCATCTGCCAGAACACTCCCAAATCTTACAAATGCATCTGCAAATCCGGCTACACCGGAGATGGGAAGCACTGCAAAGGTAGGGAGAATAGGTCAGCCCATTGAAGCAAAGATGGGGAGGAAATACTTGCACACTCTTTTATGCTGTTTTATGCGGAGGGGCAAAAACCCATTATATTTCAAAGAGTTTTTTATTAGTTGTGTCTTAGCTGCAGTGAAGTTCCTTTGGTGTCTCTGAAAAATGTGAAGATCACTCTGCTACACTCACAGCCAATGTGGTCAGAATAATGGCTCTTCCAGATGGTTTTAATTTTATTTATTAAGCTAAATAAATGGATTATTCATTTTGTGCGGGGGTGAAACAGCATGGGGCTACCAGACTGCCTCTGGTTAGGCACTGATGAGGGAGAGGCTTGCTTAGCTTTAATAAGTATTCTCAGATAATTTCAGAGCTCTAGAGAATTTGGTGAGTTCTGTTTCATTATCCTCCTTACCACCACCACCACCACCACCACCACTGTCAGATGCAGTGGTTTCCACTGGTCAGCGTGGCTGAAAGAAACTTGCCCACGGTTATGGTGGACTGTGTGTACCTGTGTTCATAACAAGGGTGCTGATGTGTGGGGTTCCCTTCTACAACACAGGGACCCCACTTATGGGACATGCCCTGAAGGGTTTGTGAATCATAGAATGATAGATCTGGAAGGGACCATAAGAGTCATCTAGTCCTGAGATCTCGTGCTCCACCAACTGAGCCATCTCGGTTTATGTTCATCATGTTTGATAGCTTCCATTGAGATACAGTGACTTGGGGAACAGCTGTAGCTCCATGGTAGAGTATCTGCTTTGCCCGCAGAAAGCCCCCAATTCAATCCCTGGCACCTTCAGGTAGGGCTGGGAAAGTCTTCCTTGTCTGACAGGAACCTGGAGAGCTGCTGTGAGTCAGTGTAGACAGTACTGAGTTGGTTGGACCAGTTGTCTGATTCAGTATAAGGCAGCTTCCTGTATCCCTGTAACCAGTGCTATTTTTCTAGAAAACACACACCTTGTTCTCTTATAATGGCAATGGCGCCCACCTTGAAAGGTGCCAGAAAACTAAGTTGCAGCTGACAAAAAGCCCTGCCTGCAATCTATCTCCCCATTGATGTGGAGGCCACTCCTGAACAACTATAAACCCTGACCTCTGCAAGTTGGCAGATACTGGGAGCTCTCGCACCAGCCAAGAAGTTCTTAAGCTGCAGCTGTGACTAGAAACAGGGTGGCCATCCCACTGTGTGGCTCTAATTCAACTGCATCTGTCAGGAGGAGGAGTGAGAGGCGAGGAGAAGGAATGGAGTGAAAGTAAGGAGGGACAGAGGACAGGGAAGAGAATGGAGGGGGTGACCAGGAGCCAAGGGCAGGCAAGGAGGGGATGGTGAGGAGGGGAAAAGAAGCAGAAGATAGTGGAACAGTCAAGCCAGAGGAGAATGTGGGGAAACTGAGAAGCTGCACAATAAAGGACCTCAGGCAAGAAGGTTGTTGGGCTGATGCTCCCTCTTACTCTGAGACACCCCAAATAGCAGATGAATAGTCCCCAGATGTTTCTGTGGAGCACCCCTTTCCAAATTCCAAACTCATTTTTAAAACATTCTTAAAAAAACAAACACCAACCTATTTTTTGCTTCCTCCTTATCCATGCAGTTCTTGCTTGCAGTTTGGGCTTTTGCTGGGTGTCCAATAGGCTTTTCCAATAGGGTGGGTAGGTGGGTTGTGGCTATCTGAGTCTCTGTGTGTGTTATACATGTGGTATGTGGGCCTATGTGAGTATGATCCTCAGTGCAGCCCTTGGACCTAAAAAGGTTAGCCATCCCTATCTTAAAATCCCTGCAGATGTGGCTGCCTCTGCCCTTCACAGATAGCCAGCCAAAATGGTCAGGGAACAATATAATCTGTAGGACCAGAAGTGGTCCCAGACTGGACTTAATAGCCCTCATAGGCTTTCCTTACAGCAAAAAGGCTGCTACTAAGGCTCATACTTACATGTTGACCCAAGGGCTGAAACTTGGGTTAAATATAATTATGGGATTTCCCCCCACCCCCAGCAAACAGATTTGGTTTTCATGAACAGTCTTTCTAAATCTTTTTTTTTTTAATGATATTTATTAAAGTTTCAAAGAAAAAATTACATATATAAAAAAACAAAAAACAAAACAAAAACAAACAAACTACAAAATACAGAAAAAAGATAGAAAACACTTAAAAAAACAAAAACACATCGATCTTTCCATAACTTACATTTCATTTCCTTACTTCCCTGACTTCCTCACACCTCCCTTTTGTATTCCAGTTCTATTAGTTAATTCAGCAATTCCTTTCCCTCTTTGTTTTTGTCTTAATCCTTTAACTTAACATATTATAACTTTAGATTCTCATCTGTTAACAATCCATTTGTACATACACCTTTATAACATTGCTGCTAAGACCACTTAATTTCATTCTGACATCATTCTAACATTCATTAATTTTGCAATGTTTCTGTAAATAGTCTTTAAATTTCTTCCAATCTTCTTCCACCGACTCTTCTCCCTGGTCTCGGATTCTGCCAGTCATTTCCGCCAGTTCCATATAGTCCATCACCTTCATCTGCCATTCTTCCAGAGTGGGTAAATCTTGTGTCTTCCAATACTTTGCAATAAGTATTCTTGCTGCTGTTGTGGCATACATAAAGAAAGTTCTGTCCTTCTTTGGCACCAATTGGCCGACCATGCCCAGGAGAAAGGCCTCTGGTTTCTTCAGGAAGGTATATCTATATACCTTTTTCATTTCATTATAGATCATCTCCCAGAAAGCCTTAATCCTTGGGCATGTCCACCAAAGGTGCAAGAATGTACCTTCAGTCTCTTTACATTTCCAACATTTATTATCGGGCAAGTGATAGATTTTTGCAAGCTTGACTGGTGTCATGTACCACCTGTATATCATTTTCATAATATTCTCTCTTAAGGCATTACATGCCGTAAACTTCATACCTGTGGTCCATAACTGTTCCCAGTCAGCCATCATTATGTTATGTCCAACATCTTGTGCCCACTTAATCATAGCAGATTTAACCGTTTCATCCTGAGTATTCCATTTCAACAGCAAGTTATACATCTTTGATAAAATCTTAGTTTTGGGTTCTAACAGTTCTGTTTCTAATTTTGATTTTTCCACCTGGAAGCCTGTTTTCTTATCCAAATTGTATGCCTCCATTATCTGATAATAATGAAGCCAATCTCGCACTTTGTTTTTTAGTTTCTCAAAGCTCTGCAATTTCAGTCTATCACCCTCTTGTTCCAGAATTTCCCAATATTTCGGCCATTTGGCCTCCATATTGAGCCTTTTCAGAGCTTTCGCTTCCATCGGTGACAGCCACCTTGGGGTAAATCATGATGAACGTGGCTCCTGTCCCCAAAGTGCTGTCACAGTGTCATCTCATGTGACATTTTTTTCTGGCCCTTTCTTGCTGAAATCCTGAATCAAAGGAATGGCTAAATTACTCTGTGCGTCTGAGTAACTGGATTTCCCCCCTATGTGGTTCCACCAATTATTTTCAGTTAAGCAACTTGGCCACCTCAGTGTTGGAGTTTTATCTCCAGTGAATGATCAAAGTATCAAGCCCATCTTGAAACAGAACTGAGAGAGCCAAACTCTGAGATCACATAATAAACAAGGACTTGTTTTGGGTGCATCCCTTTATCAAGTTTCCAATAGTACTGCATGCATAAATTCCTGATTGGATAATCAAAAACTAAAGGCTATATTTCTGGGATTATGTTGGACAATGGTAGAGATGCATCTACCATTTAATATAGAAAACACAATTATGGTGGCTTTAACAGATGACCTGGTGCCAAAGTTTTGAGCATGAGTGGCAGTTTCTGACAGGATATGTAGTGGGTCATTTTGAACCATGTGACATGTGAGCAATTTCGTTGTAAGCTACTTTGAGTTAATTGATGGCGAATACAATTGTTTGAACAATACTATTGATGGTCTAGTAAACTTATAAACTCTAGCTAAAGCCCTTCAATGATTTTCATGCATGCGCTCAGTGAAAAGTTGGTAATTCTTGGACCGCTGATGTTCTGTGTTCTGTGTACAGATGTTGATGAATGTGAGCGTGACGACAATGCTGGCTGTGTCCATGAATGTGTCAACATCCCAGGGAATTATCGATGTACCTGCTACGATGGCTTCCGCCTGGCACATGATGGCCATAACTGCCTCGGTAAGAGATTCATGCATTGTCAAACTGTTTATATTCAAAACATATAAAAA